GAACCAACTTCCAAGGGAAGTGGTGCTGGCTCCTACCCTGGGGATCTTTAAGAAGAGGCTTGATGACTACCTGGCTGGACTCATTTGAGTCCAGTCTTTTCTCCCGCCCAGGCAGGAGGTCAGACTTGAAGATCTACAAGGTCCCTTCCGACCCTACTTCTATGATTCTATGATTCAATGATTTAGGCAGAGTAAATTACTCTGCCATAGGATAGTACTGTTCCCAACAGTACCATCCTATTGTAGAGTTAATTAATTTACTGTGCCCTAATACCAGCGTGCATGTGATGCTTTACTGTGGAGCTAATTAGCCAACTACGTAAAAACACGCACACGTAGATGCACCTTGTATGACCTAATATCTTCTGCAAAAATGGTACAAAAGTCCTCTAAAGGCTAATGTATACCCAACAATTCCTGCTTTTTATCAGAAATCAGAATAGGTATAAATGCAAATGGTAGTGTCTCTCCTAGGCAACCAAAATATCCTTGGCACTTAAATTAATTTAACTCTTAACCTTTTGTACTGCACACTCCCAAGATACCAAAACTTAGGCTTATGTACACTTGAAGTGCCCCACTCTGAGCACATGAATGCCAAACTCCTATAAAAGCTCCATGGTGATGAAGAATGGAGGTGAGATGGTATCTGAAGTCCACCTAAATCCCCATAGGCACCTAAGCCTAATGCAGACAACAGCACAGAATTCACTACCAAGTACAGCAGTCAACACCTAGAAGGCAGGCCAGGGTAGCAACTTAGATCAGGGGCAGCCTCTCTGTAGGAACTGTGTCATTACTTGTCAAGGAGGATGGTCCCTGAACTAAGTAACTACTGTATTTACTTGAATATAAGATGGCTTTTCTTCCCCCACTCAGCATGGGGGTGGGGGACCCCATCTTATATTCAAATACCAGCAAACCCTGTCCCCCACCCCTTAAATACATTGTCTATCACTAAACTGTTGCTAGAAGCAGTATGTGCTCAGTCATGGAAAACAACTCTGAAGTTGATTGAATGCAGCCCATGCACAGCATAACCATAAACACCTGGCCTACACTGGGCAAACACAGTGATGAGAACTTTCTTTTTTGTCTGTCGCTTTAAAACGAATCCCTCCATAGGGAACTGCCATCAGGCCTGGAGGTACTGTAATACCACACTGGCACTGGACAGCCAGAGCCAGCCCTAACACCCTCCCTTTGGTGTGAAAAAATACTAGATTTAATCCTGGCCAAAAGGCCAAGATGCTAATGGGAAACTTTTTTTTTTGATCCTTAAAAAAAAAAAAAAAAAAAAAGGTGGGTGTTCCCTCTGCAGGGAACTGGCATCAGGCCTGGAGGTACTGCAGTACCAGGCCAGCACAGGGAGGGCCACAGCAAACCCTGATACCCTCCCCTTGGTGCCAAAAATGCTACATTTGAGATGTTGATTGGGAGCTTTTTTTTTTTTTTT